ATAACGTAATTCCCCGATAATTTGAGCACTCCCTGTGGTCTCCCTTCTTGAATAGGGGTTTTTCTTATAAATTCGGAACTTCAGTTGAAGCTGTGTTCTCATTCAGTCAACAGATAAATTAATTATTTATCATTTTGCCTCAGTTATGACAGTGCCCATGTGAAAACAGGACAATATTAAAGTTATGCAGAGACTCTGAATTTAGGACGAGATGCAAGAAAGCATTTGCAGCATAGTTTCAAGGAGCCAGATTTGGTCGAAGAAATGTGAAAGTTGGCAGAATGAAGTCAGATGCAACTGAAGTTTTTTCGAAGCTTTTTACAGTAGACGGTGCTCTGCGAAGATATGAATACTAAAGGTTGCTGTGATAACGTGACAGTATTGACTGCAGTGGCCTAGTGAGCTGTAGCGTTACTTTGCACGTTAGGAATCGAGTTCCAACCACATGCATGGCGTAAAATTTTATTTACACGGCTTATTCCCTTGAACATGTAATTCGACTTCGACCTGTTGTGCTTTGGTACAACCAGCCGAGAAACGATAGCACGTTGTTGACTTACAAATGATGGAGACGGCATATTGCAAGCTACATTGTGCTTTCAGTTTCTGCTGTAGTTAATTACACAATTGACTTGACCCACATGATAGCTCACTAATAGCCAGCACCAAGCGCCAATTTTAAGTAAATGAACGAACAAGTAGTTTTATCGCATGAATGTGTATTCTCTGAACGTAAGTCAGGTTCGGGTCGTCTCTTTCCAACGGTTCAGACGACTCAGTTTCTTATCAAGTTTTTTCTCATCTTTCAGACCTTTCTTGGCGGGATTCTAGTCATTCTCGAGATGTAGCGTAATGTGAGTTTTTCTTGTTTTCGGTTTATAATCTTGCGTCAAAGAAGAAACCAGCATGGTATTTTTGTGTACTTAATAAGCTCTCTACTGAAAATTTTAGATCGAAGTAATCAATAAAAATAGCCATTCAACGCCGGTCGTCATTTGGATGCAGACCGCAGGCTATCACAAAGTTATGTTGTTTGAAAAGTCGCAGCGCCAAGGTATCAGATATGGCCGATGCTTAGCTGTGCTAGAGCCCGTTGAACGAATTAGCGCCACCTGCACCTTAGGGTCGAAAGTAAGTTTTAGTCTAGCCGTCTAAATTACATTCACTTTGTCGAAGATTTTTAAACTAATTTTGAATATGATATTTTTAATATGATATTTTGCACTTCTGAATATGATATTTTTCAGGGCCGAATATTTACGTGTGATGATAATTTTCTACGCATGTTCGGATATGAATCTAGAGCTGAAGTTCTGGCTTGCCAAATAAAAGATTTGGTGCCGAATATTTTAGTCGAGTGTCGACGTTCGAAAAATAACAAAGTACGAGGCGTTTTGTGCAGTTCGTTTCTTGCGAAAACTTTTGTCTTTAGATGTACAGAGTTTTTACTCGAAATGGGGACGTGTTTGAACAGAACATTACTTGCAAGCATCGCTCAGGGTTTCATTTTCCCGTTACCGTTAAGGTCTCATCGCAGTACGACAAGGACGGTAGTTTGCCTCTTCACCACCGTCGACGGAATGCATCTTCTAACATGATTTTTTTAGGAAATATTTTTAGTTCAGATACAACATTTTATCTTTATTCGTTTCTTAGCGGCATTATCATGCTGAAAAATGATGGTATCATTCATAGTTTTAGTGGCTATTTTATGCCGGTTTTATTTGGCTATGAGTCGAATAGCATATGCGGCAAAGTAATTGTTTTTGCAGCTCTCAGAGATTGTTGATTGCTAAGTCGATATACATTTAGCACATCACCGAACTTCTGCCAAACTTCTATACAGATTTAGGAACAGTGCCGTTGACGACTGACATCGATACATGTATGGTGCCTTTTAATGTTTTATTGCTTGTATTCTCTTTTAGCTTATTATTCAGTGGTCGATGACATGTCGAATTTGACTCCTTTTCGTGGTAAAACGCATGTCCCCCGCAGTTTTCCAGTGTCTTCCTCCTGTCCTGTATCTCCTGTATATTCTTCGCATGTTGCCAGTGAAGAACTGTCTCTATCAGCGTTAAGTGCTCTGAGCATGACTCTGTTAGGAAAGGAAGTCCCGGAAGGACATTACCGCAGTGTAGGGAAGCACAAAGATGGCATGCTGATGGGTGAGTTATTGTTTTCGACAGTACCAAAGTTTTAATATTGTTTTACAGTTTTTACTGTTGTATGTTCTGATATCATTTTCACTCAGTAGTTTTGTTTAGGTATGGTGCCAATAATTAGTAATATGTTACTTGAATATTTTTTTCAAGGTAATATTAGTTCCAGAATTTCTGAGGCTAGTTTTCTGTTTAGGTTCATACTGATCGCTCTGACAGTTCTTAAACCCAACGTTTTTCATATGACACAGTGTTATTCACATATGAATATCGGTCAGTGGGAAATTTCAGCATTGCTCTTTTGTCAGTTTACTTTATGAGGTCTTTAGTACGAATAAAAAAACAGGAAATGAGCTTTTTTAGTTTATTTTTGAGAAATGATTCTGCACTGTATCAGTAAAATACTTTCTCTTAATCGAAGAATTTCAGGAAAATGATGCAGGTAGAAAAGTACTACTGGGTATAAAAAGGTAGCAGGTAGTACTGAGGACAACGGTGAAAAGTTTTTTATATGTTGCATTCACTTGTTTTGAATTTCAATTTGTTTACAGTATAAACGTCCGATGAATGTGAAAATATCAATTTTTAGATATTACCTATCGAGTGCGACATCTCGTATTGAAACATGACGTTGTTTGGTATTGTCTTTTCGTGGAACACAGGTCTCATCTTCAGGTACTATACCTCTTCATCAGATAATTATTTTTCGTGTATGACTCAAGCAGTCGTAATTCAAAGATAAGGCGGTATGCGCCATGTAAATACGAGTTTATGAAGTTAGCCTGTGACACTGCTTCTGTCTGGATCTCATATAGATTCTTGGTATTCAAACCTTATTGTGGCTGCGTTTTGAGATGGTGAGCAAACCTTTGCTAGTAGTTCCTGTCTAAAAGTCACGGATCTATTCAATTCGTTATTGGCTTCGCGTCAGTTGTTTCAACTAATATTGTCACAATATACTGATGCTGTCAGGGAGGAGTCTGTTATAAAAAAAACTACATCGATATGAACAGCTTCTGAAAATATTTCTGCATGTCTTCTGTGATTTTGTTCTGCAGTTATGAGCTGTGTGACCCGTTGTTCGAAAGACAGTAAGAAAGTTCGGTTTATACGTACGTTTCTTGAGGAAAAGTTAACTGCCTTATGATTCGAGTCGGAATAATTTGGTTTTCGTATCGTTTCCGGCCATCGGCTTGAAGTTCCGCCAACTGATAGGAGCACTTCGTTATAATCGTTTCTTGACTTTTCTCTTTTGCATTCTCAAACGTTTATTCGATAATATTAGATGCCCTTTGACAAATAAGCGATAC